ATACCCCACCACGTACATCACTGGTATCTTTATTATAGCACCCACTGCCCCCATCAACCACCTCTTCCACCTCTATGTGGATAGTGAAAAATTCTAGTCCTCTACGTCATACCCATGTCTCAATTCTCCACACCCCAGAAGATGTAGAAGATGTAATTGTTGGTCAGAATAAAACAGATTCAAGAGGCAGTGAAAACAGCCAATTGTCAATAAAAATGATCTCCCACTTTCGATAGCACTTTCCGGTGCTGATTATCCGATTATATTCTCACCACAACTCTGTGAGGTAGTTAGTAAAGATATTCCCCTTTTATAGCTGCAGAACCTTAGGCTTAAGAGACCAAGTGGCTCACCCAAAGTTACCCTGCTAAGAAAGTATGGAGCCAAGTGTCCAAGTTTCTTGACTCCAAATCCAGGGCTCTTCCCCCTATATAGTCTATAATTGGTAGGCAATAGAATGAATTGCCCATGATCATATACCTGCTAAGTGTTGGTAATGGGATTAGGATTCAGTCTCCAAATCTGTAGGTATGGTACCATTTCACCATACCTGCTGGCTGAGCCAGTGTGCTCAGAATAACTACCATGGAAGATACCAGAGAAAAGTCTAGTTACTTACTCTTTTCTATTTATACTAAGTCTTCAGCTTGTCCTTCATCCTCCCCCGAGTCAACAATGTGGTACATGTGCTATTCTATTCATGGAGAGTACCCAGACTCAGGTTACAAACTTGCAACTCCTTCTCCATCTAGTGATTATTCAGTCATTGCTGTTACAGGCTAGTGGGAAGGAGGGAAGTGGACCAGAGCTCCGTTCTGCTACTACACAAATTTAAGCCTTTAATTTCCATCCTCCTTCCACACCTCAGTCAGGCCCTCCACTTGACTAAACTCCTGAATCACAAAGTAAAAATCTGATCTAGAATTGGAGAGCAAGAAAAGCAGTGAATATACGTCCTTGAGTTCCCAGGCACTTCTCTCTGGCCAGTGTTTCAGGAGGCCTGGTTGTGTGATTTTCATGCAGGAGGCTCAGCTCCATGCTTCTGAGCACTCCCTCGTCTTCCCTTTGTTGGGGGGTGGTGGTGGTGGTGTCTCAATCCTTTACCTTTGAGGATGGGGGGAGTAGAAGGGATATTGGAAATGAGGAGCAATAAAGGAAGGTAAAGGGAAATTGCTAGTGGAAGGCGGAGCTAGGACATTTCCTCTTAGCTCTCTGCTCATTAAAATGAAAACAGCTATCATGGCATGGTTAGTGGAAGAAGGGAAGGAAGCTTTGGGATCGTGACTTAAAACCTGAGTCCAGAAACAGTCCTACCTAGTATAGGTAACATACCACAGAACCCAGGGTTCTCAACTTCCCACTTCCTGCCCATTTTTGCTGTTACTATACATATCTGAACTAAAGATCAGATCTTCTTTGCAAAAAGGCACTCGAATCTCCTCTCCAAACCCAGAAACACATACACAATGATATTTGTCTGGAATTCTTTTTTTTTTTTTGTGGACAGGGCTGGGTTTGAACCCACTATCTCCAGCATACGGAGCTGACATCCTACTCCTTTGAGCCAGAGGCGCCATCCCTTGTCTGGAATTCTTAAACTTCCTTCACAGTGGCCAAGGAGAGGGCAAACGTACATATCCTATCCATGAAAAAGGAAGTATCTACAAATGCCTTATAAATTCCAAAGGGCTTTCTTAGATTTAAAGCATGCTGATGCTTAACACTGGTTTTAAGTGTTTGCAGTTTGAGTATCTGAAATGTTCCCTTGGCAGTTATTCAGAGGACACTGGTTTTTCTACAGCTGGTGCCCTGCCTGTCAGGGGTCATGTTGCCATCAGAAGAGAAGCAGCTGTTCTTCTGGGATGGCGTGCCAGTCTTCCCTTAGGGAAATTGGTTAGAGGAGTACAGGCACTGGGATGCTATTTGAGTGTTTAAATAGAGATGGGCTTTTACTGTTAGATGAGCTGTGTGCACCTCCAGGTTAGTGATTCCCTATCTAACCAGGGCCCGCAGCAACTCAGACGAGGGCAAGGCAGGCAGGGCTGGGAGAGAACGCCTCCCTTCAGTCAATCGTCCAGATGTTCACAAAGACCTCACTAAGGTATTTAGTGATCTTTACGCACAAAATATGTATATACAATATGCCCTACCAAGATGGAAGGAAGGGACTTAATCACGTTGATGAGGATAAAATATTATACACTTTGGGCAGATGTACAGATTTGGTGCTGGAACAATTAAATGATCTCTAGGCTTCTAATATAAATTTCCTCAGAATCATCCTCCACACAGCTATGAAATGTGATGGTTGGTCACATAAACTGCAAACTCCAGGGAGTAATTTCATATTTAACCTGGGTCTGCAGCAACTCTAAAAAGGGCAAGGGAAGTGGGGCTGGGGAGAGAGCATCTCCCTTCAATCAGTTGTCCAGATGTAGCCAAATACCTAGTTCGATATCTGACACCACACACACACACACACACACACACTCTCACACACTTATTTACATTATACCCTTCAAAGGTGAAAGTAAGGATTTCATCACACTGATGAGGATGAAAGAGCTTCCGTTACCCATACTTTAGGCAGATGAGGGAGAGATGGAGTGCTGGACTAATCATATGATTTCTAGACTTCTAAAATTCACCTCCTAAAAGTCCTGTTCCACATATGCTGTGAGAGGTGTTGGTGATATGAGTTTGCAAGTCCAGGGGAGTGACCGTACAGTTCCTGTGGACCTGACCAACTTTACAAGGGGAAGGAGAGTGAGAAAGTGGCCCTGCAGGGAGGTCATCTCCCTTCAATCAAGTGTCCAGATATTGCCAAACATCTCACTACAATATCTGGCATTACATACATATAAAAATATTTTATATACATTATGCCCCATCACAATGGATAATTAAGGGGTTAATTGTGCTCATGACCATGAAGGAGTTGCCACTTAAACACTTTGGCAGATGTGGTGATGAAGCCCTGGGCTAATGCAATAATTGCTAGGCTCCCCAAAGGGTATGTTTATCTTCCAATACTTATCTTCAATATGTGAATACTCACAGAAATGTCATCTTTCAAACTACCTTAAAAACACAGATAATAATAAAAATTGATTAGTAATAAATACTTGATTTCATAGATTATCACACGTGATTCGACTATTTCACAAGCTAAAAACAGAGCTATCTTTTCAATAATGTCCCATTATCTTTCTTTAATACTGTTAACAATTGCTTATACCGAAGAAACAGCTATTATTGAATTCTGATTTTTCTTCTTACTTTCTGCCACGGTGGACTACTTTAACCCCCAGTCTACAGAACTTGGAGACACACAGGGAACACTCTGTAAGAGTTCTTGGGTGTCAAGGCAAGAAAAAAAGTGTTACATAGAGGCAGGTCAAGGACTCAGCATTTAAATAAGTTTGTAACAAATCCAAAGGGGAGAGAAATGTTCTTTCCTTTGGCAACATGATAACCAAAACATATGTGTACCAAAAAAGGGATTTTATTAATATAGTTTCACTCAGTGGTGTGCTGATGAATGTTCATCAGCCAGCAATCTAGAGGGAGAAAAAAGCCCCAATTTCTGAAACATTGCTTATTTCTGTGGTGTAAGTGCTCCCACTATGGCCAATTTCAAACTACTAACAAGAAATTAGTGAACCTGGAGCTGGAAAGAGATGAGACATAGCATACTATTAGGTACTGTTTCCACCATACAGACACAAGGGATATAAATAATCTCAAAAGCATTAAAGATGGTAAAATATTGGCTGGGCATGGTAGCTCATGCCTTTAATTCCAGCCCTCTAGGAGGCCACACTGGGAGGATCACTTGAGCTCAGGAGTTCAAGACCAGCCTGAGCAAAAGCAAGACCCTGTCTCTTCTAAAAATAGAAAAATTAGCCACATGTGGTAGGCGCCTGTAGTCCCAGTTACTCAGGAGGCTGAAGCACTCTAGCCCAGGCAATAAAGTGAGACTCTGTCTCAAAAATATAAGAGATAGTAAAATGTACTATATCGTATTTTTTAATATAGCATTTATTACTTTTGTCCTTAATATTATTAATTCAATTATAAGCACATACCATCTAAAACATTTTTTTAAGACATAGTGTCTTCCTGTGTTGCCCAGGCTGGTCTTTAACTCCTGGGCTCAAGTGATTCTACTGCCTCAGCCTCCTGAATAACTGGGATTACAGGTGCACGTCACCATACCCAGTTGCATTTTAATTTTTAATAATGGTTGTGTTGAGCAAACAGTTTGCAAAAATTCTTAAAAATCTAATAATTGGCAGGCTTATACAAGTCAGACCCAACACCTCAGACATAAATGGGTGAGAGGAAAGGAAAAATCAGAAAAGTAGCAAATAATATTTACTATGCTTTTTAGATAGATAGGGAGATGTAGTAAAAAACTTAAGGTTAGCGTTCCAGCAGTGTCAGAAGGTTCTGTTTATTGTGCCCTCAAAAGTATAAAAAAATTCCCAAGAAAATGAGATGTTTCAAAGGACTTTAGAGACACTTATAATACAGATATATGTCCGGTGTACATTTTGGGGAGCCTAGCAATCATCAAATTAGCCTAGGGCTTCCTCTTCACATCTGCCCAAAGTATTTAAGTGGTAACTACTTCATGATCATGGGCAAAATTAATCCCTAATTATCCATTGTGATGGGGCATAATTTTATAAGGGCTATCCTAAACAGATTCCATATGCTTTATAAGCAAGATAGAATAATATATTAATTATTCTCTCATTAATTTGTTTTATTGCAACCAAGCAACTCGGGAATACTCAGTAACTAAAATTCTGGATCAGGCCCACCTTCTGCCTGGGTCAGCAATCTCTTTAGCTCCAGTAGTCACCAACATAAGGGATGCCATCATAATAAGGCTCAGATACAGAGAAAAGATGAAAGAGAACATATTGGAAGGAAGAGGAGAGAAGGAAGGAAGAGGGGGAGAGGTCCCTTAGGCAGAGTCAGAGTGCCACCAGGAGCCAAAGGCTATAGTTAACTGTTTCCTTAGTTTAGCAATGAAGTGTTACAGTGTTACATTGAAAGATTAGTGCATACTACAAGGCAATCATCTCAGCTGTACCTTCACAGGCTTTGTCTTGGAGATGAAACACATCTGGATAAGTAATAATTCAAATTGTTTCCTGATGTTTGCAAATATCTGGATGGATCATGCCACACAGACAAAAATCTATATAATTAAACTGAATGTCCATATTTCATCCTGTGATCTTGAATAAAAGCAATGAATGCTTTTAAAATATGCCAAACTAACACGCTAATTTGTATCAGATAACCTTGCTGACATGCAATTGTTATTGTTGTATTAGGAATGTACTCTTATTAAAAATTTAAAAATATCCTATCACATCTGAAAAACTTTAAAACTGTTTTGTAAGTACTTATTCATTAGAATCGTGTTGGATCGACACACTCAATGCTGAATACTCACTAAAGGTAGGTGTGCTAATTCATTTTGTTACCTGCAAGTCTGGATTGAAGCTACATTTTGTGGGTTAATAAATATTCTATGTTTATTTGCTAATGCTGTGTTAAAGTGTCAGAACACTGTCGTGCTTTATAAAGATTATGCCACTGATCTTTAATTAGGGGAGTATGTGCATTTAGTGATTTTTTTTTTCTGGAATTAAGAGAGAATTTGTGCTAAGTTGGTCACATTTTCTTATCCAGTGAAAGATTGGCAATATAAAGTGGTCAGCAGAACACTTCTGATATATTTAGCCTAACTCAAAGCTATGCATGTAAACAGAGATAGGCCTCTATCATAATCACAGTTACAAACACATATTATATACTAAATACCTTTCAGTAATTAAAAAAAATGTTTATGTAAGAAAGCCCAATATGAAAGTGGTTAAAATCATTTCCAACTGTTGTCACTCTCTAAGATCTTCATCAGTCCATAGGTCAAGTTGCCAGAGGTGCCCACGAGCAAAGAAAACAATTATATATATTAAAAATTCCAAGATAAATAAGTAGTGCTAAAAAAGAATAACAATTAAATTATTAGTTGTGTGGCGAACGGAAATGAACAACCTTTGATAACATGGTCCCCACGGGGAAGGAGGAAAGTTTTTGTTTGCTTGTTTTTAAATGGCTGCAACATGGTGAGATGTCACCTCTTCTTGGAGAAGTTTACCTTCGGTCTCCTTCAACTCTCTTCTTACGAACTAGGTAGGAAAGAAAGGAAGGTTTAAAAAGATAAATTGAAGGAATATTCCTTAAATTCAAAATAAATAACAGTAATCACACAAAATAGCAATCATAAACACTTGAAGACATGGTGAGCTCAAATTTCCTTCCTTTTCTTTTTGAGACAGTCTTAGTATATCACCCAGTAGAGTGCCATGGCATCACAGCTCACAGCAACCCCAAACTCTTGGGCTTAAGTGATTCCCTTGCCTCAGCCTCCCAAGTAGCTGGGACTTTAGGCACCTACTACAACTCCCAGCTGTTTTTTGTTGCAATTGTCATTGTTCTTTAGCTGGCCCAGGCCAGGTTCGAACCTGCCAGCCTTGGTGTATATGGCTGGTGCTGTAACCACTGTGGTACAGGTGCCAAGCAGTGAGCTCGAATTTCAATACTCAATTTACTAGGATGATAAATGGAAATGATAATATAATCCAGTGTCTGAGGGAGTTTACAATCTCAATAAAGATACGTCTGATATTTGGGTGCTTGCCTGTTCCATGAAACAACACACTCCTCAGTATTTCATGGTCATTTAACCACAGCTCATCATCTTCACAGCTTCTGTGCAACTCAGTCCCCAGCTGGTTTTAACTAACTCCTTAAGTCAACTGAATCATAATCTATGTTTCTGATTATGGGCTGAAAACCAGGAGGAAAATAGATCCTCAAAATTTCTTCTATTTTTTCAATTTTTTGTTTTCAAAGTTTATAAATTTATTTATTATTATTTTTGAGACCGAGTCTCGCTCTGTTGTCCAGGCTAGAGTGCCAATGGCATCATCACAGCTCACAGTAACTTCAAACTCTTGGGCTCAAGCAATCTTCCTGCCTCATGACAGGTGCCTACCACAATACCCAGCTAATTTTTCTATTTTTAGTAGAGACAGAGTCTCACTCTTGCTCAGACTGGTCCTGGACTCCTGAGCTCAGCCTCCCAGAGCATTAGGATTATAGCCATGAGCCACCACACCTGGCCCAGAAGCTCAAACTTTCCAAACTTCTTCTAAACAAAAACTCTGAAGTGTCAATGTTCACAGAAGTGTGTTTCAAACAACAAACAAACTCAGAGATTAAGTTTCCCTTAAACTGGTACTTACGGCTCGGCGCCTATAGCTCAACCGGCTAAGGCGCCAGCCACATACACCCAAGGTGGTGGGTTCGAATCCCCAGCCCGGACCCGCCAAACAACAATGATGGCTGCAACCAAAAAATAGCCGGGTGTTGTGGCGGGCGCCTGTGGTCCCAGCTACTTGGGAGGCGGAGGCAAGAGACTCGCTTGAGCCCAGAAGTTGGAGGTTGCTGTGAGCTGTAATGCCATGGCACTCTACCCAGGGGAAAGCTTGAGGCTCTGTCTCAAAAAAAAAAAAACAAAAAAAAAACTGGTACTTAGGATCAAAGAAATTACCCAGACTCCTTCTTTCCTGGTTTCTGCAACCCTCTTCACTTCCTAACTGCAGGCTCTTTAGGTCACTGGGAAGAGAGCTACTTAAAGCTCCCTAGACTTGGCGAAAAGGTGCCCTGGCTGTGGTCTTGGCCTAAAGCTCCACTTTAAAAAGCCCAGCCTGCTCCTGTGGGAAATTAGACAAAAGCTGTTGCCCATAGTTGCTACTTCTTGGGTTTAGGATTGCCTCTCCATTTCCTTCGAACCTCTAGTTTCTCCTGTTTTTCTTTGGTCTCTATGTTGTTCAGACACAGGCCCGGTGTGCTTTCTCTAGGCGCCTTCTGTCAGCTGCTTCTGGTTTGTCCTATTTGCTGGTTTGCCTCTTGGCCTCACCCTGTGCACCCCACAGGTAAGTGATGCATATGCCATGCCACTTTCTTGATGCCACACACTGCACCTCAGGGTCTTGGCTAAGCACGTCTGGGCAGGGAACTGGACATTCACCCTTACTTGCCCCTTCTGGTTCTAACCCTTAGTTTCCACCTTGTTCACTATCTGAATCCTCTTTCTGGCCAGCACCGTACTTAGTGGAACACCTTGCTCAATTCCCCTGTCCAAGTCTCGCATTCTGTCCCTGAACCTCAAACTGGAGCTGAAACCTGCTTTTGGCTAACTGCTGGCCAGATGGCCTGTCAGCTCCTCGACGTCCTTTGGCTGTGCTGCTCCAAGTGTCTGCAGTTTCCCCAGAACAAGCTTTCCCAGTCTGTTCCATCCTTCTGTGCTGTGATTGACTAGGTTGTGCCTCACCTCATCCTAATGGAAGAAACACCAGGGATCCTCCGCAAAACACAAAACACGGCAACAGGAAAATGAAACTTCTCAGTTTAACTGCCACAATGTAGCTCTCCTAGTCTATTTCATAGGTAAGGTACCCAAGTATCAGACATACCCATATCTAAATCTAAGTACCAAAGCAGTCAGAAGTCAAACATAAGTAAACTCAGAATTTCTAGGACTGTTTTCTGGTGCAGATAACAGAGAGTGATTACATACAAGAAATAAGTAAAGGAAAAGCAAAGGCACAAAAGAAATCAAGCAAAAAGGTCAAAGGCGATCTTGGAAAACGAATAGTTCTTTTTGCGAAAATGTTATGGTAAAAGAAATCAAGCAAAAAGGTCAAAGGCCATCTTGGACAAAGAACAGTTCTTTTTGTGAATATGTTACGTTATGGAAAATTTTATGAAAATGTTATGGTATGTCAAAACACTGTGAGAACCATGAGTGCAACCATCAGCATATGACAACGTGCCTTTCATGAAGGACTAAGTGACACCAAAGGCCAATGGAATAGAAAAGCTGTATCAGGGAGATGTTGCATCTGAAACGGAGAAGAGAAAGCTCGTCTTGTAAATAGCACAGATTACGGCTTCATTACCCAGGTCATTATTCTTTGTGATGGCAGCTGCCACCCTTGTTCGTGGTCCTTGCTTGGTAAACTGATATCCAAACTTGAGGATTCTTGAATTCTCCTCCAGCATCTGGGCAATTTCCATCTCTACAGCTGTTCCCAACTGCTGCCTCTGGTTGCCGGTGCCGACACACACACACAGGATGACCAAAAAGGAAAAGGAATGGTTACTTGCACAGGAAAGCCAAGACCCAAAAGTTTCTAATTAGAAGGGTCAGTGTCACTTCAGGTATTTCCTCCCATATAGTCATTTGAGTCCTGTTCCTTGTCTAGAAGCAAAATCCAACAGTCAGCTGAATCTGCTGGTTTACTGCACTGGACAAACTAAGCAAGTCATCGGAAAGGATGATGCCAGAGATAAAACGATACAAAACTAATATTTGGTGTTTCCAATTCACCCTGTATCTGTGGTTTTAAAAAAAGGACAGGGTGGCTCGGCGCCTATAGCTCAAC